GGGGTGGGGGGGGGGGGGGGGGCAGGAGGACTCTCATGTGAAAGAAACCAGTAACAGGAAAAAAAACGGAAACAATTGGAGGGAGGAAGGGGGTGGGGAATATTAGAAATTTTCACCTCTATCCTTGGGAAGACACTGGCAGGACTGGCAAGTTGAACTTAACACCTTTGTGGAGTGGGAGTGGTCTCAGAAACAAGATCCCTTTGGGAATGGGGCTCCACTAAAATAGGGAGGTAACTTACCACCTAGCAGTTTTCAACTGATGATACTGAGTGTGAATGAAGGAGCTACTTAGGAAGAATAGAGTCGCCTAGAATCTACATATTTCAGACCAGAAAGACCTGGGTATGGTGACAGGAATCAGGCTCATTTCTTTCAGTTCATTATAAAGAGAAGAGGAACCATGATAAGGTATGCAGGACCCACTTTCTAGTTTGTATCAAGAACTTGAAAATCCCTAACCCATAACAGTGGGGACAACATACTCCTTCCATAACCATTTATAGAGACCATGAGCAGTTGAGAACAATTAAGCAATTTCACATTTTCCTAGGAAGTATCAGAGAATAGAAACCTTACTATGAGAATGTATTTTCAAGTGAAGTTACTTAATATTACCAGGTTGTGCCTAGTCAGATAAAAAAGTGTGGGCCATATGCTCCATATCAGTGGGCGCCACACAGAGTCTTAGGGACCCTAGACTGAAACAACAGACCTGGCATATTGCCACTCTTAAGTTATCAGAGCAGTACAATACTTGAATCTAGGGTTGTCTTGCACAGCAACCTAGGGGGAAATAATAAGAATCCCTGTGATTGGATTGAGGACACTCATTTGATATGCTGTGTTAAACTACCAATCATCAAACCCCAATCTGGCTGTGACCAGATTTCATTCTGTTGAGATAATTGCTAGGTATTTAACCAGCAAAATCTCTTCATGATTTCTCCCACTGGGGCTCAAGGAAGTATAGGCCTAACATAGATAACATCTGAAGTTCAAAAGGAGAGGAGCTGCTCTTTCTGCCAGGAGGCAAATCAGTGAACCTGAGCAGGGACTGAGCTGACATTATGCTTTTGAATAGTGGGGACAGGAAAGTGTCCTGCCCTGCCTTATGTTATCAGACTCAGAAGGTTTCAGAGCAAGTCTATCAGAAGAGGCTCCCTCTGTCTTCTTTATGTCAGGTCTAAGGGATAAAGGAGAGATTTCTTAAATATCCAGCAAAAATAACATTTATTTGAAAAAGTAGATATTTTAATATAAAGCAAAAGATTTTTCTCACAGTAAATGTCAAATAAAAATAAGAGAAACGAGTAGTGTTACAAGAAGCTCTTCCTGTTGAACTGAAATCATATGAAAGATCTAAAGGACTATAAGATAACCCCTACCATAAATCACATGTGTAGTGCATAAATGTATTAGATTAGTAAGACTGTACTGTTGCTAGAATTTTCCATTTCTGTGAGATGGTTTTAATAGTAAATATAAATAGACCAGGTTAAATTAAGGATGAATTTTGTGATATCTAAGGAAGATGATTTATTTATTTATTATTTTATTATTTTTATTTAATGTGTATGAGTATTATGCCTGCATGTACACAAGTGAACCCACGCCGTGCAACATCCATGGAGGTCAGAAGAAGGTGTTAGATCTCCTGGAACTGGAGTTGCGAGCGGTTGTTAGCCATCACATGGTATTGGGAATCAAACCCAGGTCCTCCTCAAGAGTAGTCTGTGCTCTTAAACACTGAGCCATCTCTCCAGCCCTTAATTTTATTATGTGTATAAGTGTTGTACCTGCGTGTGTGTAAGTGCACCCGTGCCAGGCAGTGCTTGAGGAGGACAGAAGGAGGCATCAGATCCCCTGGAACTAGCATTATGGACAGTTGTTAGCTCCCATGTGGGTGCTGGGATTTGAGCCTGGGTCTTTTGCACAAACAGCCAGTGCTCTTAACTGCTGAGCCATCTCTGTAGCCCCAGAAGATGTATTATATGAAATGAACAAAACTTCAATAAAAGTACATGGAGGAAAAAAAAAAACTGTGAAAATAATAAAACACAGTCAATATTTTTCCCCTCTGGATCAGTTAATCATTTTTAGTATTCTATTTAATATTTTAATCACCTCAGTCATATTTTTATATGCATAAATACACATATATACTGGTTCAAGTCTTTATTTCAGTAAATTTTCCCCTTCCCGTCCTCTGGGAGTCACTCAGTCAACTGGTCTCCCGGTTCTGACATTGGTTAATAAAACCTACCTAATGCAGTTCTATTTGAACTTTGCATAGTTTATACGACATTTGGGAGGGGGTGACTAACAAAGAAATGGCTTCTCATATCCCGCCCATAGTCTCCATCAGCTTTTACGCATGGCACCATCTCACCCCATGCTCTCAGTGCCTTATATTGCCCTGCAGAGCCTGCAGGCGTCCACGAGTTTCGCCCAGCTGTTCTCTGTTCTAACCCCCATTGTTCGCTGCTCCCTGGTCTCTCTCTCTCTCTCTCTCTCTCTCTCTCTCTCTCTCTCTCTCTCTCTC